AGCCCAGAACCAAATGACAGCAAGAGCGACGCCGAAGCAAGGCACATGATCCGAACCATCAGAATACATTTTGGGTGTGTGTCTTTGAGTGCAAATATTGTGTTATTGGTTATTTTGTTAGCAGCAACATTTATCAAGACAATATTGCATCGCAACACGCGAACTACCGACAAGGCAAAATATGGAAAATTCTTGAAACAAATAGTGCAACGGCATTGTGCGCGTGCGTCATGATATGTTTTGCAAACACTGAATCCCAGTAATGCAATAACACCGCAGCTTTCACAAATACATTAGGCACTTATCCAATTCTACAGAGTCACCACCCCCAAGGAAAATGAACCAAAACACTGTCTGCATGTGTGGGTAGGAATACGGATTGGCAGCATTTGCTGAAAGATGCAAGATGCAAAATTACTGGCCCTGCAATTTCAATGTGATAATGGGCAGTGCCCATTGTCACCCATTGGGAAAAATTACAGGCACAAGTTGTGCAGCGATATCATCGTATGTAAAAAGTTCTCATATCCTGGGTATCGAGTAGGATATGGCCACATACTGGATACGGACACCCATATCCTTTGATATCGGCTGCCATATGTCTTGGAATTTGAAGAGGACACGGGCGAGTATCTGGACATAATAGCACAATAATGTTGCCATATCATGGCATGCGATGGTCTTATTACAGCAACATCATTGTCTTTTTTAGGGTATTTAGATTCAAAGTAAGAAAGTTTGTATCCCGCACCAGCTGATTCCCAGTCCAACGCGAAGTCAAAGCAGGTCACCTGGGCAATCATTTTTGCTTGGTTCCATGGGTGCATCAGCAATCACTGTGCCGGACATCGGCTGTACCAAAATGAAATCTTCGCTGGATCTGTTGCAACAAATTCATGGAGCTTGTGCTGCTTAAATTGGTGTCGAGGTGTGGAACTGTAGAATGTGGGTAGGTGGGTGCGGGTGGGGGTGGGGGGAGGCACCACGACTTAACACTATAGTACGCAGTGTATTTCGGCATGACTATGCAAGTTGCAGCTGATATTTAATCCCATTTAAGCGATGCTTCTGGACTCACATTACTTAGTATGTGTGCTATAAGCGATTGTTGTGAGATGTGAAACAGGATGCTCAGATAATTTGGCACGAATACTGCAAATGTTGTTGAGAATGTGGCACACCTCAATTTAAGGAAGTGCATAAAGAGAAAAGACCGTCACAACATTGTTATTCAGCGGCCTGATCCCCATTATTTCACCTTTCTTTAAGAGACAGGGTTCGGGAGAACAAGGGTTTGAAACTTAGGTGCGAGTTGTTGCTCTGCACGTACTGAGTTGATCTCTGTTCATCAATCCAGAGTTCTTGTTTCCTGCACCCTTTGCTTGAAGGGCTGGCTATTTCTCCACCTGAAAGTTAGTGGCTGCGCCAGCTCCCCAGTCTGCGGACGTTAACGACAGAAGGAGCTCGCCAACGTTTGCGACCGGATATGAGTGTGGTTTTCCCGAAAATTTCAATACCCAAACCTGCGATCCAAGGTATTGCTAGGAATCCGTGTAGGAAGTGTATCAAGGGCATCCCTATTGTGATGTACTTGTGAACTATGTGTACATGGAGACATGACATGCGTGGCGTACATGGTGCATAGGTGCAAGGTGGAGATGGTGACATTGTATGATAGAACATGACTGGATTCCAGCACAATGCTGCGTATTTGACCTAGAGTGTGTCGTGCAAGCCGTACTTTACGGCCTGCCACCTGTACCTGGGTAGGGCCGTGGGCAAGATGCATGACAAGCCCTGATCGGCATTGTCTATTGCGATACCTATCATCTTCTTGTCTTGCTTATGGTCATGGACTGCGAGGCAATGAGCCTCGCAAGATTCTAATGCCGATGTTGTTCCCAATGGATACACACATCGGACACGGTCTCTTCATGCCATATTGCACAAAGTCCACATAAGAACGCAACTGCACAGGTGGGATGCTCAAACATCTGTTCATCATTGAAATCCTTTCATCTTCATCCCTCCTTCTCTTAAGCTTGCATCTGCGCACGCTACTTTTTGCAAGATGCCAAGTTCCCACCCCAGACATGAGCAATGTCTTGTGAACATTATTAGGGCCAGATTCGGTCCTCGCATATCAGCTCCCGGCCTCATCACACATTCGTCGCCTGACGGCTCCAGATTGCCGCACGCCGCAGCAGGGGCCCTCGTGCACCTCGATACCGCCCCATGGATCTCACACTTTGGCCCTGCAGGCACACCCACCTACCCATCCACAAACCCCAGCATTGGCCCATTGCCAGACTTGACGTGTCAATCCCACCCTATCCCATGCCACTAGGGGGACCAGACATCCGACAGCCCTCCTGCCATCCTCTCCCATCATGTAGTGTTCTGGAATCCAAAAAACAAAAAAAAAGGGAAAAAAAACTCCCACTGCATATTCGACTGCTCAGCCACCTTTCCGACTTTCGCGTCCCCCTCAGGTGGGCCCGCGCCTGGGCCCAGCCCGCCGGGCGTGCCTGCGCCCCCCCTCCCGCATGCCCGTGCCCGCGCCCCCCCCTCCCCCCCTCCCCGCCCTTCTTCCACTCCGCGAACGCCATGAGCCCGCGGCGCGCATCTTCGCAGCCCCCGCTGCTCGTCCTCCTGGCGCCGCGCCTGGGCGTCATCACCGAGATCCTGGCAGCCACACGCGGGATGCAGCCCACGCTGACCGGTCCGCCATCATCTCCCGATCCCCGTCGACTCAGTACATCACGGGACTGCTTCCTGGATCGGGCCCCCGGTGCCCGATCCCCGGAACCCCTCCGCTTGGGGCCATCCCCACGCAGCGGGCCGTCCAAAAGCGGACCCCGGGGCCCGACGCGGGCCCCGGGGCCCGCCGAGGGTCCGCGCAGATCTCCGCGTCCCCCTTCGGGACCGCACGGGCCGCGCCCGCGATGCCGAGCGGCCGAATCGGCGTCGCGCTGGGGGACCGGAATGCACTGGCCGATTCTGGATCCCGCCGTTCCCGACCTTATCATCGCATCGCTGTTTCTGATCTCATTGACTCGAACGCCCGCGGGGGCAACCGACCGCTCCGCCGACCCCTGCGGAGACGGGGACGTCTCCATCCTGTCCGAATTCCCGCGGCCCGCCATCGGCCCTCGATCTATCGATCGCGCCGCACTCCCTGGCGTCGAGCACGTTCCGTATCTCTCGGCGGCGGTCCCAAAGTGGAAGCTGCCGGATCGCGTGAGAAGGTGGCCGGGCGGCTGCCATCCCGGCCCGGCCGCCCTCCCGCCCTCCCCGCCCTCCTCACGACGGCCCGGCGAGGCGGACGAACTGCGGGGCGGTGTGGCCGCCTCGGACTCGGGGGCCCCGGGGGCGGCGCTAGACTCGGGCACCCGCCGCGCGGCGCGCCAGTCCCGCCAGCGCAGCTCCTCCTGGGACAGACCCCGGCCACGGCGCACGGAGAGCACGGCGGCGATGTTGTGCATCAGTACCACGTCCATGGCGGGTGGGGAGGAGGCCTCCAGCACCACGTGGGGCGCGAAGGGCCCCAGGCCCGCGGTCCCCCGGGCCCGGCGGTCCCGCGGGCCCGGGGACCTTGGGACCCCGCCCAAGGACCTCGAGGCTCCCTCGCTGGCCCGAGAGCCCGGCCGGCCCGATCCGCGGGAGGCCCGCAGGGGGGGTGGCTGGGGGTCCGGCCAGCGGGAGGAGGAGGGCGTGCTGTGGAAGTCGTCGGGCGTGGTGACTTGAACGTCATCTTCCGAGGCGGTCTCTGCGTTGATTTCGGCATCAACTTCGGTGTCAATTTCAGCAGCCGGGGATGGGGAAGGGGAGGGCTGTGTGGGCTGGGATCTGGGCGTGGCGGGCGGCAGCCCCGCGCGGGGGGGTTGATGGGGACGGAATGGGTCCGATGACGTGGACGGGGAGAGGGGCGGTGATGATGCAGCGGAGGAGTTGCGGCCGTTGGCTCGGCCTGCGTCGCTCGTTCCCCAGAAGCGGAGCAAGGCGGCCCGGTCCGGAGATGAGCCGGGACGGGCCCTGCCTTCAGACCTCGCGGCGCTGGCCGGTGGGTCCGCGGACGCGGCCGGAGGGGGGCTGGAGGGCGGGGAAGGCTGTCGGGCGTCGTGGGCCTGCTGCACACAGGAAGGGAGGGGTGTCAGCGGGGGCCAAGATGTGGCGAAGTTCAAAAGAGAAACAGGTCATGCAAAGTCCCCCGTCCACCCACCCAAGCAAGGAGATAGTATCTTTTCTTGAAGATCTCTCCTTCTGCTGCTGACAACGATAACGTGGGTCAGTGGGTCGGTGGTTTTAGGGTTTAGGGTGTCGGAACAAGAATCGACAATCACAAAAAAGACAGAAGGACTAATTTCACGCCCCCAAGCAAGTGCGCGTGAGCAAGGGGGTCCATTGGGCAGCCACTGTTGCTGCTTGTTCAAAGCATAGAGGACTGGGATGCGTTTTCTGTTCAAGAAATGGCAAGGCGGGGCAAGGGCACTGTGGCTCCGCTGCAACTTGCAAGCACCACCAACAGCGCCCATGTTCGAGTATAGGTGCCCATGGAGCTGGAATGTCTGGAATGGCCAGTAGCCAAAGCCTCGCACTCGGTGTAATCCGAGCATGCAATGGTTTAGAAGCAACGGGGTCTCAATCGCAATGGGTCGATGATGGCCGGCAATGCATGGAAGGAGTATTTGGAGCTGATTTCAAATTCACGGAACACCTTCGACCGTGACAATATCTCCCACTGCCAGGACGGGCAGGACCAGCGTCCAAGGTGCCACGTGTGTGGGATGAAGGCGAGCAAGAACGCTGTTATGAGTTGAAGTACACAGTTCAGTTTTGCATAGCCGCAGGCAGCGGTCTCTCCCATTTTCAGGCCCGCGTGGCCATCCGTATTGACAGCCAATCCCACACGACATTGTTGACGGTCAGTATCAGGCTACGCGGCAATGAGCGTCCCCGGTAACGACATTCATGAGACGACTGATGCACCGTTGCAACCCTCACCACACCTGCTTGTCCAGTGTCACGCTGTACCGCGTGGCGAACTCGTGGATGTCACTCTTCAAGCTGTGCACAGTCTTCAATCTGCGATGGTAGACCCGTTTTTGAGTGACAGGACACGTGTCGTGGCCGCCCTCGAACCATGCCTCGATCATCGCCCTGTCGTACACCTGACCAGTCTCGATCAGCATCACGGGTTCCCTCATGAGGTCCATGCTGATTGGGCAGCGGAAGCAGGAGGGCACGTCAACGATGCCGTCCAGGCTCGTGGCCTGGGTTCCGTGCCGCAGGATGGACAGAAGCATGACGTAAACGTGGTCCTTGGTGAAGGGGCTGCCCGCCAGCGTTTCAGGGTTCCGGAGGGCCTTCTGGAGGTCGGCAATGTCCTGTGGGCGACGCCGTGCAGAACACAACGTGGGCTGGTTGGCTTGCAGTCCCAATGCCTTTGCTGGATTGGTCTGGGGAATGGCGTTGAGATGTGCCACAGCTGGACGGAGAAGAACGATTCGGATCATTGGGACCCACGGATCTTCGCGATCTGCCATGATTTGTGGCCTGCAAGGATCTCCTTGGGGCACCGAGCTTCACCGAGGCTCTTGAGATCGAGCATTCCGTTTCATCAAGTCAAGCTACTGGGTTGTCCACCGTCTTAGGGTAACTTGTGAAATGGGATAAGGCCTACTTCTCATTCTTTAAGAGGGAGACAAGCATCAGAGCGCTTAATTGTGATGCACATTTCTGGAATAACATAAACAAAAGAGCAGTGAGCAAGGCCTTCAAACTCCTCCCCCGAATGAGGCCAGTACCGTCTTCTTCAAACGAAAGGGAAGTTGTCGTTGCCAATTTTCACCACTACCAAGTCGCAATGATGAGAAACGAATGAAAGCATTCATTACGCAGCATGGCACACGACACACTGGTCATGGCCAATGTTCCCCCACTGGACTGGCACTGTCATACAGCATCAGTTTTCCCAACGGTCTACAAGAACCGCACAGCCTGGCGCACATACTGATGACAACGGCAGGAACTGACCAGGACAGGGGGCGAGAGGGTGCGCAATAGGAGCATCCCACCAGTGCTTGAATCTGCCTGCCAGCTCTTGTCACAACGGTTTCCATCAGGTCGCTGATCGCCTTCATGGACGGTGCCTCCAAGCCTGCATCCAGCGCTGCCACTAGTTGCTCAGAAAAGCCCTCTCGCCACTCCGATTCACCGTGGAAGAACACGTCGCCACTAATCTGAGCCTGCAAGTTTTGGATGTCCTTTCTCAGCTCTTGTCGCACCTTCAGCAGCACGAAACTGTCAAAGCTGGACCAGTGCAAAATTATTTGTAGTTCCACTTGTTGTTGTATTGTGGTCGGCATGATACAACACTTGGGGATCCAATGCGGGGCAATCGGGTTGTTGTATTGTGATCGGCATGATACAACACTTGGGGATCCAATGCGGGGCAATCGGCTTGGTCTAGTACGTTTGTGCATTATGAAAACATCGTGTTTGCATTTTAGCAGATTAACAACATCTTAATCTGAACAAAATCTTCACAGAGAAAAGACAAGATGGAGCTCCGTTCGCTGTGCTCACTTACCAATTTGGCAATAGTTGGGTGCTACTGCCTCTTTCCTTAGCCAGTGCATATTTCAAAGTGTGTCAATTGTTGTAATTGTTTTCACAGGAGCACATTTGTCTGCGATAAATGCCAACTGCGTGAAGGGTGTTAGCAGAAAAGATCCTCCACAGCCAGCTTGCTCCAAATGGGGATTTGTCAGCTTCAAAGCTACCATATCTTCCTCCATGTACCATTGGCCATAATTGTGTCCTGTCATGTGGGCGATTCCTTGAAGACTTTGCCCAGGGCACATTTCTGTGCATATATCACAAGGCAAACTCTGGAGCATGTGCGTTGCACCCAGCCACACAGGCCAGCCTTAGACGAATTTAAAATGCCAGCCCCAATCACACCGTGTGTGGTTTCAGTGTCTGGGCTCGTCACCTGATCGTCCCCCACTTCTTCCTCCCTCCCCCACGTTTTCAATTCCCCCAATGCACCATGCATTGCCTCTGCCCACGCTTTGAACTTCTCCACTGTTGTATCAGAACACAGCAGGTTCATCATGTGCTTTGTTCGATGGCAGTCCTCAACCAGCTGCAGGCCCATTCTTAGGAAGGCCTGTAGGCGAGCGACCGCAGCTTTGGTGCCGTGATCCCACAGGTGCACGAATCCCAAGTGCAGCTTCAACACAGCAACAATCCTGAAGGAAAACCTGTGAGGAAGCAAGGAATGCAATGGATCAATGCAAGGGGTTGCTGAGACGGTTGACACTGATGAGAGGGGAGAAGGTCGCACGATCCCCCTTTTTGTAGGCTTTGGCAGTGAAGCTTAGCCCAAATCACCTTGACTTGCACAAACCTGGTGGCGCAGCTGCCAATTCTATGCGGCCACAGGAGATTTTCGCGATTTGAGGACAAAGGAATGCTTGCACCCTGTAAAACATTTACTAACTGCTCCAGCGGCGGGGGTGTGAGCCATGTTGGGTTATTGTTTTTGCTGCAGCTCACCTGGCAAGTGTCTTGCAAGCAGATTCGTAGGTCTTGACAGAAGCTGCTGCTGCCCATATGCCATCGGCAAGGGACTGGCACTGCTCCACGACCTGTCCAACCTCCATATTCCCGCCTGCAAGGACGCAAATGGTGAGATGACAAGATCGATCCCAATTCTTTGTCACACTGGTGTCTCAGAAGACTCTTGTTCAGGGGAATGATGCCGAAAGTATGAACAATACTGCCTTGCTATTCAAAACATTCTCCACGTTGGCTATGGGATGTACTTGGGAGCTGTTCTTTGTCATCGCCCTGTTGGCTCTCTGTGATCGTTCAGCACCGGAGCTGGCATTCCTGTCCGTTTGTCCACTCCCTAAAGAGGCTCTTGACCCCATCCCCCGCCCGTCCCTTACTCCCAGCTTCCGGGCAACCAACGCGCCTGAGCTGCTATTCTGCCCAGGTGAAAATGTACTGGCACAAAAGCTGGCAGCGGCGCATGACTGCATTCCCGCGGCACTGGCCGCGCCTTTGGTTGGCGATCCGCGCCTCAGCCATTGGGTTGCAGCCTCCGTATAGTTGGGCCGCGCACAGTTGGTTTGGTTTGTCTCCCCCAGAGCTACGCTGCTGTCGGCGTCCACTGCCGAAAGGGTTGGCAGCGGGGCAATATACGCACTCGCCCGATGTTCATGAGAACAGCACCGTTGCGAACAGCGATGGGATCATCGTTGGCGGGCCTGTTTGAAGATCTCTAGCAGGGGGCGGCCAGACATCGCCAACCAGAATCGACGCCCAACGCAACCCGAAGAACACCACCCGCAGCGCTTCCGTGCCGCTCCCGGCCCGTTGCCCAATGGCGACATCCGCCGAATTAAACAGGGATGCCGCCTTGCCGTTGGCCCGCGGCGCACAGCCTGGCCCCTCTGACGCTGATCAAGAGGAATTGGCCAAGGACCCGTGTCTACCGCCGGGCGCGCTGGCCACCCGTCCCACAGATCCCCGGCGACAATGCCAGTGGGGCGCCACGCCGACCACAGCGTCACACGTGGGCGCCTCTCCACCGCCAGCCCATAGCGCGTAGCCGCGTCCACGGCAAATTTCAACCGCCGTCCAATCGTGCGTGCATTCAGGAAGCGTCCGCCCCGGTCCGCAGCCCCTTGCCTTGATCGCGCAGCGGCCGCGTCCCAACATCGTTGGGGGATGCCCGCAGCCAACTTCCCCACCAGGATGCAGCCCAGCTCCCCATCCGATCAATCCCGCACCCGCCCTGATCACGATCTTTCCACCCCCCGCCGCTCCCACCCCGCCCATGCGCCGCGTCCCTGCGAAAAATGTACTGCGCCACGCGTCAGGCGCAGCACTTACCGATTGGCTCCAATGCTGCGGGCCGCTCACCGACAGCGTGTAGGTCGCCACCCGCGGTTCAGTTGCTGACCGCGGCCAACCGCCGGAGAAAGCGACGAGTTGCGGGGACTGTGGCGCCGCTGCCGGACCTGGGGCTTCGCACCGCGGCGTGCGCCCTCTAGTGGCCGTGGCGCAGCGTGGGCTGTGCAACGAACTCTGGGCTGTCTGTCAGCAAGTGTCGACGAGTTTCTGGCAAGTGCAGCTCGGCAACCAGCTATTGTCGCTATGTACTATTTACGACTACTGCGACTATTATATTTTAGACTATGTACTGTATAGTATAGCGGAGACTATTGCTACTTACCATTCAGCATAACTGTATGTATGAGGCAGTATTTGCTATTCACTATTTAGTATAAAAGGGGGAGGGGGGGAGGGCAGTTCCGAGCAGTTGATGGGCTGCAGCAGCACATTGCGGATGTACAGTCGCGGGATTCCTGGCGGGCCCCGGGGCGCGCGCGGGTGCGCGAGATGGCATGGATCAATCCATGCCATGCCACAGCAATGGTGATGCGGCAGCGCAACATCGATGGTCGCGTGCTGCTGGTGCAGAGGCGTGCTAGGATCGCCGCCCGATACTATATTCTGCACTTGACAATGCAAGTACAAAGCACTGTCGTTGCAAGTGGACCTGACCTTCGCATTTCTAGAGTGCTAAGCATACACACAGAAGTTCAAGCATCTTTGTCTTTTGTTTTCAGGGTGCGCAGTCCTAGTAACGACAGCGCTAGGGACCACATGACTGGGCAGTGACTGCGCTGGCCGACATCGCCAATGCGGTGCAAGGGCTTACTTTTTGTCGCATGACATATGCCATGCAATCGGGAAAGCGACTTTGTCACACTTCGGCTTGTTGTACAATAGGAGCACGAGTAACCTGGCTCCCTACCTACCCGCCCAACGATTAAAACAGTGGAAAAAAGGTTGTCTTTTGAGGTCTCAGACAATGGGGCTGTGGGCTTCGCGGGCACCCTCGCTCAGGGAGATTGAACCCACCCTGCTTGGCACAGTTTCAGAAGGTTGCTGCGAATCGAAATGTTTTCGAATCTCTGCCTCCACCGTGTGGAAGTGGGCTTGGGCTTGACTTTCAAGTTTGGCTTGGTGTTGTGCAGGTGCAGAACTTGCCTTCCCTTTCGGCAGGCAGCCGTTTACTGTTGCTGCCACCATCACCATCGACAGGAAACTGCGGAGTCGCTCTGCGTGTGGGTCTATTGCACATACAAGGGTGGTGGCCTTGACTGGATTCCATCAATGGGGCACATACACGCATGAACTGGAGAGCCCGCGAAGAGCTCGTTTCAGCAGCGGGAAGTCACAGAAGGCCTGAGCTGCAGAGGGCGACAACAAATCGACACCAGAGGAAGAGGAAGATTATGCTTGCTTACACGAGTGTCTGGGAGCGTGCAAACCACAGGGCAGCTCCTCCACTCCCAAGAACATGAATTCAGAAACGAGACAAGGGCTTCGGGGTACAACACGGATATGCATCGCGAAAAGGCTCTTCTCGTCAAATTTTCCACGCATCCTCATTTTCTTCCACGTTTTCACCTATCGAAAGAATCCCCCCAAAACGGCCACACATGGTAGGGGACGGCCACACGAACGAAAAACCCCACCAGCCCGATCTGCAATGAGCGGGAGAGATCCACACGCGCGGGGGCCCGCATGCATCTACTCTGACACGCAGCGGTTCTCGGGGGTGGTGTACTCGGTGGCGGAGGCAGGCCTGTGGACGAGGAAGGACAGGCACTGCACCTGCCTCACGTTGTCGAAGGCCACCAGGCGGATGTAGTCGTCGGGGAAGACCTTGGTGCAGTTGCCGATTTCCCTGAGCACCTCCTCGCCGGAGTTGCAGCCGAACATGGGGAGCTTCCACATGGTCCAGTACCTGTTGTCCTGGTAGCCCTGCGAGGAAATGGCACGAGAAGCAGGTTAGACTCCACCAAAGAACTAGGCGGCTGGAGGGTATCCGACTGAAGCGAACGTTCTTCGGGTGTGAGTTGTCAGTTCGTGATCACTCGACGCTCGTTTCTGGGAAGCACTCTGGACGCACGGAATTTTGCAGACGACAGGTAATCGAGGTATTTGATAGGCAGAAACTCGACGGCGGAGACTGCTCCGGGGTTTCTCGCACATTTGGCATGTCCACATGCAGCGGAGGTATGGGGCAGCGCACTCACCGAGGCGACAGGGCCAAAGCGGATGCAGTTGGCGGAGCCGACGTAGGCGGCGTCCTGGGGGGCGAACTCAAGGCAGGGGATCCATCCGTTGCGGAGGATGTAGTCCACCTGCTTGGAGATCTGGTCTTGGGTGAGGGGTGGCAGGTAGGACAGGGTCTCGAAGCACCTGTTCACAGCCACCAAGGCACACGTCAGCGCCCAGAAGCACAGCATGCGGTACGAACGGGCAAATGCAGTACGGGCAACGAGCGCGACTGGAGGACAAGTGAAAGGGTCCGTCAAAAAAAAATCCAAGTGACTGGTTATGGTTTGGTGCGTGTACGGGCGTTGTCACGTGGACAAATGGGATCTTGGAAAGGGTTATGAGTCAGCAGCCGCCCATGTGCCTGGCGGCCCAGACCAGAAACCACTAGACAGCAGCCCTGATGGGGTGTGTGTTTCGGCGGCACGGGCGCCGTTTCGGCGACGGACGCGTGCTGGGCGCCGCGTCGCCCGGCAAAATGTTGTACAGTAAACAAGGGACGATCCATGAAGACGAGGAGGTGGTGGCGGCCACCGTTCACGCAAACGGAGCTGATCAACCTCATCAAAGCGCATCAAGCAAGCACACGGAAAGCATCTAGGCACAAGTCGTGCTAAAACGGCGCGCGACGGCAGGGGAAAGCAGAGTGCGGCTGGCCGCAAGGAAACAGACACGGTCGGAGGCGGTTCAGGCCCCGCGGGACGCCGCAAAGGGACGTCTGTACACCGCCATCAGGAAACCAATTCGAAACGCGGCGGCTGCGAAGGCCGGGGCGCCGCATAACTCGCTCGCTCCGTTGAAGCACACGCAATCGTCGCTCCATGGCTGGCAACGGGCTGTGGCTTCTGATGTACACCCAGAACTCTCCACCAGCTGTACACGCGATAATCAGGAGTGCGCAAGCAAAGCGCGCCGAATCACGAAGCCCGCAAACAAAGCACGCCACGTGTGCAACCGCGCCCCGGACCGCGCAACAACCGCATGCTGGCCACGAGCAAGAACGCAATTCCACCCCGCCCCCCGATCACGAACTCTCTGAGCCGCCTATCATCACACCCCACCCCTCCCCGCCGCCAGGCTCCCGATGTCGCCCGCGATCGCCCCCCCTCCCCTCCCGCGCAGCCCCCGCAGCGGGATCGCCGCCCTCCCCCACGCACTTGTTGTTGTACGGCTGCCACACCATCATCTGGTGCACCTTGGCGCCATTGGAGACGGTCCTGGCGCGGAACGCGGCACCGGGCGCGGCCAGCGGCTTCAGCCCTCCCTTCAGGTTCACCGGCGCCTTGGCGGCCGGCGCCTTGGGCACGGCAACCTTGGGGGCGGTGTAGGCGGTGGCCATGGCGAACGGAGCCGGCGGCCTTGACAGGAAGGGCGGGGGCGGGGGCGGAAAAGAGCCTGAGGTGCGACGCGAATAGCGGGCGGGGGGGGGGGCGTGCGGCGCTTTAGTATGCAGGACGGCGCTTGGCAAGCGACAATTGCCCGCCGCCGGAAGGCCACACGTTGGCGCCGGGCCCCCGCCCGCCTCTCGTGCCTAATCCGACGTGGAGGGACCCGCCTTCGCTGACTGGGCGGGGCGCCAGCCCTCGGCCCAGCCCGACGGCTGGGGGATGGGGAGGGGGGCTCGATAAAGCCGGTGTGACGATCCCGTTGGCGATTTTGCCAAACCTACCACGTCGCGCCACCGCCCCACATCCACGGCGATGACGCCTGCCGGTCGGTTGCGCGGACACCGGGGCCCGGGTGATGCAACGGGGGGCCGGGGGCCCGCAGCGCGGCCGGAGATCCTACCTTGCATGGGTTCGCTGGCGGAGAGCACGGGGATCATCACGTGGAAGGCGGGGGTGAAAGGAGCGGCTGCGCGAGGCTGTGGCCACCGTTCGATTTTACGGCCTGATGATCGCCATTGTCATGACGCAGAAAGTTAGTTAGTATGCCGCTCAGGGTTTGACAGGCCGTGGAAAGATTGAACTACTGGGGTTGACTCATGCCATGTTGCGCGTGGCCGTTTGGAGTTGGTTTTGCGGTGAGACATCTGGCTGTCTGGTCCCACGGCTCGGGAGGTATACAGGCGATAGATATTGTAAACCAAAATATTTCGAAGAGAAAAAATTTTGCATATTTTGTGGCAAAAAATGTAGAGAAATATTTTCGCTGATGCGCATGGAGCCGCTGTCAAGGGGCGAGACACGCTTTGCCGGCAAGACAGATGTTACACTAGAATGTTCTCATTATCTAACCCCTTGGTGATACAATTAGTGGTATGGGGCGCCTGCCCTCTTTTAAGCTGCGGACCCGCCTCGCCGGGCACCTAGATCTTTACAGGGACCTAGGCGGGACCACCCCGACCTACTCCCATGTCATGTATCGTATTTCCTCCATCCCATATTAAATGTCCTCTATGACTTCGACACATCACCTTTCCATCATAAATTCGTTCTTTTTCAATAGAATTTTGTCCAAAGCTACGTCTACATTTTCGAAGTATATAGTCAAAATTTTAAGTCAATCCATTAAGAATTGAGGATTTGGCAGTACTTTGTAGTAAGGGGCCTCCAGGCAAAAACCCACCCGTTTTTCAACGATTCCGCAAAAAAGGTTGCCTTCACTGTTTTGAGGAGCACGCATTCATGGCAGCGAATGGAGCTGCCTATGCAAAACTAATTATGCCATTCGGATATAAGATCAGCATGGTGCTCACGAGGAAGCGCGGTAATAGGAAACGCGTTCTGAACGCCCTAATCATGCAATTCGCCATAGCTCACGGCTGAAATTCAGTACTGGCCTGGTGGACCGGAGCTGCCTTACGGCCACAAATTTTTGAGGCCGAGACATATCGCCCTCTGTTGGTGCCGTCAAGACAATAAAGTGTTATGCACCCGCAGCGCACCCCCGAGAGGGTGGCGCCGCGGGGCGCGCTCAGGACCTGCCCAGGTGGGTGAGACAGGCGAATAGAGAAACGGATTGTTACAACAGTGCAATACTCCATATTTATACCAGATTGTTCAATTATCTTCTTAATTTGGTAGGCCCATTTAACTCCACAATAAAGTAACGAATGTCCCCAAAAATCCCTTAGAACATAAAGACAATCCCTCAGGCCCCCATGGCCATATCTCAATGCCCTAAGGAACCGAGAGAAAACAAACTCTACCTACTTCACCCTAGTGTACCGAGACCCGATAGGTACATGTTGTGTCCCAAAGTTCCCAATGGTCAAATGTTCACAACACAGAGGGTGACTCCGAATTCCCTTGACAAGTTGATAAAGAAGATAAAGTGCTGCACCGCATTCAGTGGCAGCCGATTGTGGAAATTGTTGTCGACACAAGATTTGTGAAATTGCTATTTTTGTGGAATTTCAGATGGTTAAATGATACGGCGAGGAGAGAGAAAGGGAGAGCGGCCAAGTCACTACAAGGGTTTAAATACGGTGCTCACCACTAATACAAAGCCTTCAGGCAATGTATAGTGGTGAGCACCCTATTTAAACCCTTGTAGTGACTTGGCCGCTCTCCCTTTCTCTCTCCTCACCGTATCATCTCTACCAACCCCGGCGAGTGGCGTCCTCGTCACTCCGAATTCTCTCCCCGCCTTAAGCCCTACTTTAGCCCTTCACTTCGGCCGGCTTGACTAAGCCCATGACTCATCCTTTTATGGCGCGTTGATCCCGGCGGACGTCCCTCGGCCCTCACTCTCTTTTGGGGCACTCGAACTCTGACCCACGGCAATCCGGCCCATTTTCTCGATGAATCACCTGCGGGGACGGGTATGGCTCCGAAACCATTGATAGGGGAACGAATTGCGCCTAGCGGGATTCGACCCTCCATCCCTTGAACAAGGGTAGAGCAAGTCACCCACTAATACAAAGCCTTTAGGCAATGTATAGTGGTGAGCACCCTATTTAAACCCTTGTAGTGACTTGGCTGCTCTCCCATTGTCTCTCCTCGCCGTATCATCTCTACCAACCCCGGTGAGTGGCGTCCTCGTCACTCCGAATTCTCTCCCCGCCTCAAGCCCTACTTTAGCCCTTCACTTTGGCCGGCTTGACTCAGCCCATGACTCATCCTTTTATGGCGCCTTGATCCCGGCGGACGTCCCTCAGCCCTCACTCTCTTTTGGGGCACTCGAACTCCGACCCACGGCGATGCGGCCCATTTTCTTGATGAATCACCTCCGGGGATGGGTTTGGCTCCGAAACCATTGATAGGGAACGAATTGCGCCTAGCGGGATTCGACCCCGTGTCTCTTGAACAAGGGTAGAGCGAGTCACCCACCAATACAAAGCCTTCAGGCAATATATAGTGGTGAGCACCCTATTTAAACCCTTGTAGTGACTTGGCCGCTCTCCCTTTCTCTCTCCTCACCATATCATTAAATACAAAGAGGATAGTGAGGTGGCTAACACCATGTCTTTTTCGCAAGGGCAGATGAGATATGTGGTGATAGATTGTGGACTGCACAAAAGAGGGGGTTACTAGTGGCAATTCATGGATCGTGGGTCAAGCTGCACGCAAAAGCCTCGAATCAAATATCTATCAAGGCAAGTTATCCTTGCAAAGCCACCCAAATACCTTGGAGTGGTAGGATGCACAGAGCTTAGGCTTGAGCGTCCTTGATCTTGGCTCATTCCGCTCATTGCAAGTCCTTGCATCTCGGATCTAGGGTCGCGGCGATTTATGGCATTGTCGACGTTGTGATGATGGCCTTCTACCATAACGATCCACATACCGTTAGCCATGTTTTACCATTGCTATTCCACGCAAGGGATATCGCCCTTCACCGCGGCAGTGGTGAAGCCATCCCCTTGGCTGCCCAAGACGGGAGCAACTTAGAACCGTGTGGATCTTCAGCGGAAGCAGAATCGGCGGGCACATCTTTTTTTGTATCCAAGGGCAAATTTGAGGGTGCCTTTCAAGGGGTGGGACCAATTTTTCTTCCTCAAAATTGGTAGTTAGGATTTTTGGGACCCAATCTTTCTGATTCTGACCTTGTTTTGTATTTTTAAAGCATTTTTGTTAACGAATTCTGTCTTTCAAATAGAGGACATTTAATATGGGATGGAGAAAATATAATAGAATAAGGTCCAGTTGGGGTGGTGTTACCGTATCTTGGGCAGGGCGTCCCCCACACCAAGAGGTCAGTAGTAGGGCGTCCCCAACATTATACCAATGTGCGTAACATTTCGTCCCCCTCAAGGAGGTGGGACGTCCCCATCCCAGTGCGTAAATATGGGAGTAGATACATGCGTGGCTCACAAGCCTGTTGTATATAGAAACTGGCTATGCATCGCATCGCATACCTAGTTAAACATGTCATATGAATAAACAAATATTGAAAAGAAAGAGTGGTTGTTACATGGAAAATGGTCCTTCGGACAACCTTCATTAAAACTCTTCCTTCAGCTTACCAGTTGGAAAGTTCATTCTATGCTATAGTGTACAATTTTCTACCCTATGGCCTCCCGACCAACTCATGTCCAAGAAATGTACAGGATATACAGGGATCACCCTGCACATCCCTTGGTGCGACTGCCTCGGGCCATCTACCCACAACCACGACCACGCTAGGTGTAGCCTGGGTTTCTGCCTTTACCCTGACCATGGGCTGTTGTGGACATAAATGGCCCATCGCCTGTATTCTCTCACCACTCATGATGGCGATGGACATGGCGTTCATGTGGCCATATTGCGAATGGGACCGGTTTCCTTGATAACCGGTATTCTTTTGTGCCTAACGCAGGAGTGCCTGTTACATGCGGCAAAACAATCATGCTCATGTCAATGTGTACATCTCGTACTATGACCAGTTTGTACATTTGCAACAGGAATTCTGCTAATCTCAAATGCTTGAACCAATTCCTATGCATTGGCAACTGTTTTTGCTGATTTCCAATAGTTATGCTCATGGCCATAACCCAGCCATTTGATAAGGTACTCTACAAAGTCCTGTCTATAGGCACATTTTTTAATCCTCTTATCAAGGATATGTTTGACCTCATATTCCAGTTCCCCCTCAATCTCGATAGGGACTGGTGGTGGTTGTACTCTGCCACTAGCCTTGTAAGGCTTGAGTTTTGATACATGGAAAACCGGATGTATTTTACTCATGCTTTCTAGGAGTTCTAGTCAATATGCAATAGAACCTATCCGGTCAAGAATGGTGAAGGGCCCAATTCACCTTGGTAATGATTTCCAAGTTCCAGGGTGCTTGAGGGTAATATGTTATGTCAAAAGGAGGACATTATCTCCTTTGACAAATGACACATCCCTCCGATGGTGGTCAACATGTTTTGACTGCCTATTTCATGCTTTCTCTAAGCATGCCCTGGCCTATTTTAGT